GAATGAGAATCTCTGAAAGTCAGTAGTAGAATCTTTGTTAAACACAACAATTCTATCTGAAAGAGATGAAAAGTGAGACAAATTCATTCTTCATGATATTCCAGTTGAAATTTTTGTCTGTGAAGAAGAAATGCTACTTCTCAAAAATGAATTGAAAGAATACAACTTCATTCAACTGAGAAAGAAGCCTGTATAGCTAAATTCAATTGAGTTCAGACAAAGCAGGAGAAATGCCTCTATTCTAGTATATATAAAAACACTTGAACAGTCAAAGATCTCTGAAGTAAGAGTAGCAGATTTGAAAATGAGAGTTCATGAATACAAAGACTCAAGAATGAATCTCAAAGCTCAAACACAGTGTTCAAACTGTCAAAGATATGGACACTTTGCAATCTCATGTTTTAGAGACTCAAAATGTGCATTCTGTGCCAGAGATCATAAAACTAGTGCACATAAATGTGAAAGATGCTTAAAAAGAGATGAAATTTGTCAACATACTTTGCTTAAGTGCTCTAATTGCAAAGAAAAACATGCATCTAGCTCAAAAGAATGTATATTTGCTTCTAGAACTCAAAAGAACTGGAGAAAAGATGAAGCTCAAAGTCAATCTAGAACTGAAGAGAAGAGTCAAGTCAGTAAACTCACAACTGCAAGCTCAAAAAGAAGAAACTCTCAATTATCTTAGTCTTCAAACTTCAATTCTTCAGTGAAATGAAAACAGAATTTGAATCCTCAAACTTCTGTTAAGATTAGAGAATTGAGAAATGACTCTGATGATAAACTAGATATAATGCAAGCAGTTGAGATTCCTACTTTTCAGAACAGTTATAATCTACTATCTGATGATAGTGATTAGATTCTTCTCTACTCTCTTTTAGTATGAATATACAATAAAAACAACAAAAAAAGTTTAAAAACTCTTCAAAAATCACATTTATTCAAAATAATGTGAATAGAAACTCAAATTGCATTTATTCTTATCTTCAAATTACATTTGAATAAAAAGTTAATTTTATACTGCTTCAGGAGCTGAATTTTGATGCTGAGTAAAAATATGTCATTTCTCATTCAAGCTACTACTGCTTTCTACCTCAAAAGTCTGAGATAAAGTCAAGAGTAGTGATCTATGAAAGAAAGAGATCAAGATATCAATTTAATCTAAGATTTGATATCATGTCTGACCCTGATATTCTGGTGAGTGATATTATAGATAAAGAAAATGAGTTTGATACTATACAGCTCATAAATATGTATAATGAAAAGTCATTGAAGAAAAATAACAATATCTGAACAATTGATAGAGAATTTCTGATTATAACTTCATCAAGAAACTCTATAATTGCAGGAGATTTCAATGCACATCATCTCTGATGAAATTCAGAATGCAAGAGAGCAGTGAGAGCTGATAATCTGATTGAATAAACCTTTAAGCATTCAATAGATTTGATTAATAAGTCTGATCAACAAACATTCTTTAGAAAAGACATGAAACAGAAGTCTATTATAGATCTAACATTCATGTCACAAAATCTAATGAAAAGAAGACTTGTAAACTGGTTTATTAATTCAAATGAGACATCAGAATCAGGTCATGAGATTATTCAATTTGATATTGAACTGAGTGAAAAACAAATGAGTGAAAATCCTCTTCTCTCTAATCAGTATAACTTTGAAAAAGCTGATTGAAAAGCAGTTGAAGAAAGCATAAAACTGTTAAAATCTGAAAGACAGAATGAGCTATATTGGAATTCTGGTCAAGATATCTCAAATGAAATGCTTGAGAATAGAGTGAAGCTTATTACATCTATTATTCTAACAAGTGTTAGAGATAATATTTCAAAAAGAAAATCTTCTGAGTATTTAAAACCTTGATGAAATGAGAATATCTCATCTAAAAGAAAAGAATTAACTACTGCTAGAAGAGATTGAAAGAATGATGTAATATCTGATGAAGAGTTCAAAGCTGTCAGAAATGAGTATTTTTCAGATATTAAAAGAGCTAAAACAGACTGCTGGAATAAATTTCTTGAAGAAGCACAAGAAAAGGAAGTTTTTAAAGCTTTTAACTATACTAAAACAAGAAGTGTAGCAAAACTTCCAGCTCTAGAATATGAGTTTCAGAATGAATCATATACAGCAAACTCTTTTAAGGAAAAATGTCAAGCTTTCATGAGAATTCTCTTTCAGAACTCACCAGATTCAGATTCAGATTCAGAGGAAGAGAATATATCACTTCTCAACTACATTGATGAAAATGACTGAGAATGACCTGATCTTACACAAGATGAATTAGAGTCAGCTATCTTCTCAAGTTCTGTTAAAACTGCTGCAGATCCTGATTCAATTAATCACTTGATTATTCAAAATACATATTCCTACTTAAAGAATGAATATTTTGAGCTCTTTTTCAATCTCTTGAAAAATGAATATCATTCTGAATGCTGGAGAGAAGCCACTGAAGTGATTCTTGCAAAACCTAATAGAAAAACTTCAATTCCTAAATCATATAGAGTAATATCTCTATTGAACTGCCTAGAAAAGGTTTTAGAAAAGATAATAGCTACTTGACTATCTTTTATAAGCTCTATAGATGATTCTCTTTTATTCAGTGAATAAATGAGAGGTAGAAAACAGTGTTCTGTAATTGACACTGTTCTCTCAGTTGTTCATGATATTCAAATAGCAAAGCATGAGAGTCTGGTCTCAACTGCAGTTTTTATTGATATAAAAGAAGCATTTGATCATGTTTCAAAGTCAAAGTTAATTCAGATATTGAAGATATTAAAACTGTCACTTTCTCTAATAAAATGAGTTAACTGTTTTATATCTAAAAGAATTATACAACTTTTCTTTGATGGAATGAAATAAGACAAGACTGAGATAAAAATAGAAGTATTACAGAGATCTTCAATCTCACTCATTTTATTTGCAACATACACTGCATATCTATTCAAAAATAGAAATATGAGAATAGTGTGATCTCTGAGTTATGTGGATGATATTGATCTAGTCTACAGCTTAAAAACTATCAAAGAGAATTTGAAAGTAATTGAAGAAGCTGCAAAGAAAATCTTTATTAGAGCAGATATCAATCAAATTTAATTTAATATGAATAAAACTGAGTTAATTCATTTCTTTCCTAGATTCAATGAGAAAGAACTATCTCTAACTCTTTTAAATAGAGAGATTAAACTCAGTGTAAATGTCAAATAATTAGAAGTATGATTAAACTCCAAGTTGAATTTTAAATATCACATTCAACAAAGAACTGTCAAGGCAGAAAGACTATTAAATAACATAATCAGACTATTAAATACAGAGAGAGGTCTATTCTTCCAGGCTATGAGACAGTTATATATAGCCTGTATTACATCAGTAGCTGATTATGAAGTTCAAGTTTGATGAAATAATCAAGAGAATTTCACTGAACTCTTTCAAAGTCTGTAAAACAGAGCCTTGAGAAGAATTCTGAGAGTATTCAAATCATCTCCTATTAAAGCAATGAAAATTGAAGCTTCAATTTCTCCTTCTACTATTAGATTTGAAAAGACCTGTATGAACTATGCTCTGAGAGTTGTAAAGATGAGCTCAAATCATATAATCAGAGAAAGAGTCTCTTCTTCATTTTCATCAATTAACTCTGGAAATGAACTGAATTGAAATAGATTTCTTGATTGAAATGAAAATAATTCTTCAAAGAAAATGCCTTCTCAACTGTACAGACTATACTCTCTGATTAAAAATCAATTTTCTTCTTTAAATGTTGAAAAAGTTGATCATGAGAAGTTATCTCTCTGAAGAAAAAAGCTTGAATCTCTTATAGACTTATAAATAAGTGAACTATTAAAAGAGAAAGAATATGAACAGTATTTGAAGAGAATTTCTACAATCAATATAAAAGACTCTATTCTGATTTATTCAGATGACTCAAAAAATGAGAACTTGAATAGATTAGATGCAGGCATTGCTTATACTGAAGATAATATTAATTTTATCTCAGATTTCTGAAATCTAGGCTCTGAATGTGAAGTCTTTGATGCTGAACTATTTGCAATAGTGAAAGCTTTCAAACTTATTGAAATAAAATCTAATAAAAGAGGAAATTGTTTGAAAGAGGTATGAATATTCTCTGATAGTCAAGCTGCTTTAAAAAGACTTAGAAATAGTCAGATTCATAATGATCAAATGAATCTTGAACTGATCTTAAACTCTGTTTTAAAAATTCAAAAGAGAAGAATATCAAAGCTGAGAATTCATCTGCACTAAGTTCCTGCTCATATGAATATTCATGGCAATGAATTGACTGATTCAGCTGCAAAAAAGAATGCAGAATTAAGCAGATCTATTCAAAAAATTATGTTCTGATCTTTTATAAAGAGAAAAATAAAAGAATCTTGTTTAGACAAGTGAAATGAAAGCTGGCAGAAACAAAAGAAGAGTATACATTATTCAAGATTTGAAACAAAATCCAAGTGGAAATCTTGTTCAATTAAATGTAAAAAGAAAATATTCTCATCTATAATTCAGCTGAAACTAGAACATGGCTATTTCAAATCTTATATACAAAGATTTGATGATAGATTTGACTTAATAGAATGCTCATTCTGCAATACAAATGAGAATTCTGAGCTTATTATAATGCACTGTGCATTATACAATAGTCTCAGAGTCAGATTGAAAGAGAAGTATGATCTAAATCAATTAAATATGAGATTCTTATTCTCAACTGAGACAGGAATTAAATACTTAATAGACTTTCTATCAGAAACTCAAGCAGCTACAAGAAAATGACTAAATTCAGAATTATCTGAATATGAAGAGAAGAAAATCAATCAGATATAGTCTGTTAAAACAGCTATACACTCTCTTTTAATAATTTGTTTTGTTATAGTCTCTCTTTACTTTATCTTTTTCTGTATCTTTTTCTTTCAATTTCTTTCTATCTATCTATTTAATGTGTCTATCTTTGAGACTGTGTTCTTTCTCTCTTTTCTTTTGTCATGATATTGTCAAATGGTTTCAAAGTATCAAAAGATGTTAAAACACTGCAATTTGTAAACAGTTTTTGTATTCTGAGCTGGAATTTTCTGATTTTACATATCTGAAATTGATGAATGTACAATAGTTAACTTTACAGACATAGAAAAAACCCTGAGTGTGGTTCGGAAGAACGTACGACCGTCGGATAATAACGCGGCCGCTTCCGAACTACTAGCGTACGCGTACGAATGTAAAGGGGCCATAGCGGCCGCTAATTTAATTAGTGTACGATATTACAATATAAGAAGCTGACATACACCTGTAATTGTACACTGGCTTAAGCAACCTTTGAATCACATCTGATAGCATGTCTAAAAATCAGTGAGAAGTGCAGACTCCTCCAGAGTATGATAATTCTGTCTACAAAGTGATTCATAGTTATCATACCAGTGTGGTTCTAGAACATCTCAAAAGATAGCATATGAAGAGCAGTGAGTGAAAAAGCATCTGATTGATGCTGCTTTGCTTGTTGAGGGAAAACTCCACACTCAGGCGAATGCCACATATGAGATGTGAACAGATGAGATGTGAGAAAAAAGAAATGAAAGTGATGAACCAGATTCAAAGAAGACTACTCTCCATCTAAAGAGATAAAAGAGAGAGTGATCATCACCAGAGTTGTACAATGATAACAGAAATCATATAATGATATAGCAATAGAATGATATAGTAATATAATGATACAGTAATATAATAATATAACAATAGACATTGTATGATTAATAAGAAAATCACTGAAATGAATACCTTCTCTAGCAGATACAAACAACACTCTTCTCTGCTACCTGAATCAGAAGATATGCAGAATCTCTCAGAGAGTTTACTTAAAGCAGTAAGAAAAGTGACTGAGATCACTGAACTGAAATTGAAGCTCTGTACATGTACAAGAATTCTAAATGAGATCAAGGCCTTGTGTCTGCAGTGGCAGGCTGAGGTGAAAGTCAAACAATAATTGACATTCACTGCAGATCAAGCATTCACTATAAAGAGCTTCACTGACACAATTATCATCATTAATAAGAATAGAGAAAACCAGATCTTAGGTCTGCAGCAGAAGATTGAACATTTACACAGACAGGTGACTATGCTGAATCTGAAGATTCTACTACAATCATTCATGATCTCTTCAGAAGTGTACACATCATTGAAGATCACTGCACAGGATGAGAATTCAAGCATGAAATATATCAAGTCAGAAGATCTGTCAGAGTCACTAAGCTTCAATGATGACTGAAAAAATAATGCTGTAATCAGCTGGCTAAGTCAGATGCAATCATATTATCAGATTGAATGTGAACTCACAGACAGACAGTCAATAAAATTTCAACAAGTCTTAAGATCTGCTGCATTTCTACATGGAAAAGTGAAGTCATTATAAATGACTGATGAAAAGATGAATCTCACAGACTCAGAGTGATATTCATTCTCACAAACATGAAATGAGTTTTTCAAATGAATCTTGCACAACTTCAAGAAAGTGAATGTGCAAGATAAGTGTTATGAACACTTCACTGAGTGTAGATAAGTGAGTGATCTTATATTATATTTCACACACTTCAGCTTACACTATCTTATGTTGAATGAAGAGCTTTCAACATCTTTCTGTTTACAGATCTTCATTCATGATCTTACACTTAAGTTGAGAGTGAAATGAAAATGCTTAATCTCACAGTCAGACACAGTGAAGAAAGCATACAATATTCTTATTATACAGAAACAAGTAAGTCAATTACAACAGAAAATACTGCAATCAAGTATATCTCAGCAGAGAATGAGTAATCAGACTTCTATGACACAAGTCACACACTCAGATACAATGAATCTAGATCTGAATGCCATTGCTAAAGCACTGAATCTCTCAAAAAAGAGATTCTCTGAGTGAAAACCTTGATATTGCAAGCATCAAGCTTGCTTCAACTGCAGACATCAAAATCATGATGCAAAAGATTGCACTCAGTGTACACAGTTAAAAAACTAGCTGAATCAGTGAGCTTGAAGACACTCACTGATATTCTATGAAAAGTCTTCAAAGTGAAAGAGATGCCCGCATTAGATGATTCTCTGAATTCTGTGAATATAAAGAAGAAGCAGGCTTCTGAATGAGGTGCAGATGAGGATGATGAAGTGAACACTCATCTCAATGTCTTAAGACCTGAAATATTAATGTATAGAGAGCACTTGAGTAAGAATTAAGAGATGGCTGCAAAAGTGTTAACAGACACAGAAGCTTCTACATAATATATTGAAAATCATATAATCTGAAGATTGAAAGAGGTCTGCTGAGTGAAGAATTCTCAATGTATAAGATTATCTGATAACTGATATTTAATATCACCTGCAAGAGTAAGAGTTCTCTTGCACTTCAGAGAATGATCTTGCTATATTTGAGCATGAGAGCTGCAGAATGTGAAATATAATCTTATTCTCAGACTTGATTGATTTTAAAGGTTCAATCTGCAGATTCAATGATGTACATGTTATATGCAGTTGACTGATAGAAAGAAAATGGTTCATACAATCCTATCAACTGATATGAGAAGGACATTTCATGTCCCTGATATAGAAGAATTAAATCTGCTTACACATTAACAAGCAAAAAGAATGATTTGCAAGACCTCATCTGAAAGCATTCTGTATGTCATACAGAACTCAGAAGCAGAGGAAATCAAGATAAAGAATATATAAGAGAACAAGTGTATGAAGAAGCTTCTGAAGAAGCATGAAAAGATCTTCTGAACAGATCTTTCACTGAAATTGTCACTGGAACAAGGATTTGTACATGAGATTGACACAGGGGATGCAAAACCAGTCAATCAGAATGTGTACTCTCTGTTATAAATGCATCTTGAAGAACAGAAGTGTCAGATCACAGACCTTCTAGAATGTAATCTCATATGATTCTCATCAAGTACATGAGGCTTTCCAGTTCTATTTGTGAAAAAGACAGGTGAGGAGTGGTGAATGTGTATTGATTATCAAGCACTCAACAAGCTTATAATCAAGAATGAATATTCACTGCCACAGATTCAACAACAGTTGAATACAGTCAGAAACACTCAATATCTATTGAAGATTGTCAATATCTTCTCTCAGAATACTGATAGATCTGTGTAGACAAACTGTCAGTCCTGTGAACTGCATTTAATATGCAATGAAGAAAGTTCAAATTCCTGACAATGTCATTTGATCTGATAAATGCACCTGTCATCTTTCAAATGATGATGAATACAATTCTTTATAAATAGAATGAAACCTCATGTCTCATATATCTCAATGATATTCTAGTCTTTTCAAACTCATATAATGAATATCTGAAGCATCTTAATGAAGTGCTTACAACTCTGATAGAGTATAAGCTCTATATCAAATCAATCAAGTGTGTGTTTGAAATGAAAGAGTTGAAGTTTGTAGAACATGTAGTGAGTGATAACTGTATACATCTCATCTCAGAGAAATTGAATGTCATAGCAAATTGACTGTGGCTGAGAAACATACATCACATACAACAGTTTCTTGAGTTGATCTCATACTATCACAGATTTATTAAGGATTTTGCACAAATATCTGCACCACTCTCAGATCTCTTAAGAGAAATGAATACAAATCTGTGAAAGAAGAAGTTTCATTCAATCATCTGAAATGCTGTGTGTGAAGAGGCTTTTCTCACACTGAGAGAATGTATAACAACATCCTCAGTACTTATTTAATCAGATTGTAATAAATCTTTCTACATTGAGACAGACATATCTGACCCCGGTGGCCGAATGATTAATGCGGCCACCCGGTAGCGCCTTGGCATGGGAAACCAAGGTGTGTGGGTTCGAAACCCGCAGGGGATATATTAAATCCGGAACTCAAGCACCTCAGGTTTCTAATAAATACAGAGGTGTATAAATCGCTCCAATAAATTGCTCTATGTTCCTGGGCTGGGAAGTTATTATCGCATGTATCTAATTGTCACTCCTTTGTATTTCCTATGTTCTTGTTATCTTGGCATGGTCTCAACACCTGTATTTCCTCCTGTATAATCAACACTTGGCCTGTATTTAACATCACGCAAGGACTCATCATAAGCTCCGCTTGCATATGAGTATAATGGAAGAATAATAATAATAATAATAACAGACATATCTGAATGAGCTATTGAAGACACTCTTCTACAGATGGGCAAGAACAGCAAGCTGTACTCAGTGACATATGATGATAGGAAACTATTGAGTACTGAGCTCAATTATCCAGTGCATGAAAAGAAATTGCTAGTGATCAAGCACACACTGATGTTATGAAATAGATATATTAACAACAGGTATATAATAACAGTGATTATGAATTATGAAAGCCTCATCTATCTACAATTAATAACAAAATCTTTCAAACACTTAGTACATTGAATCTTGAAGTTTTAAGTGTATAATCTTCATATCAAATACTGAAAGAAATCAGACATTATGATGCCTGACACAATCAGTCACAGACCTGATTTCATGAGTGAGAATTCTGCAAATCAGGTATAAGAGATGTTCATGTTAAACACACTGAGAGAATGCAAGAAATCAGAATAAGTGAACATCATAATCTCTCACTTGCAGAATGACAAGATGTCAGATGATAAGTGTTTTGTGAAAGTAGTAGAAGAGATGCTTTCAAGCTTCAAGCTGAGAAAATTGAAAAATAACATTGTGCTTTACTATGATCTAGAATACACAGAAGCTCTCTATCTAGAATCTTCATTTAGATATGACTTAGTGACTCATATACACAAGGAATTCAGTCACTTAGAAAGCTCTGAACTCATGAGTGTACTTGAATCAAGAGTATACTGGTCAAGCATGACTCAGAACATTCAGATGTACACTCATGAGTACTCAAATTATCAGGTCATGAAAGAATCTAAGAAAGAATTAGAATATGAGAAAGCATAACATCAGATGAAGTGTATGATACAATTATTTAAATAATGAGAAGTGAATCTCATAGACATATTGCTGTAAATGTCAAATGAAAATTGATGAATAATCACTGCTATTAATTACACTACTGGCTGATCAGTTGTGAAAGCAGTTTCAGAGACAATAGAGAAGATGATAATGAAGTTTCTACATAATGAGATCTATATCAACTATGAAATGCTGTGTGAGATTCTAACTAATAACAGTACAAATCTTGTAGAAGAAGTGATGAGACATTTCATGAGTCAGTTGCAGACAAGACATTGTAGAACAACACTATATCATTCACAGATGAACAGAAAGATGAAACACTTGAATGAAATCTTAAACAACATACTGATGAAATATCTAGTGAGCAAGCCTATGAGACTATGAAATGAATATCTCGGACAGGTGCTATTGACTACACAGATTCAACAGTATGCAGTCTTCAAGTGTTCATCATTCTATCTGTTGTATGAATTGCATCCGCGCATCTCAGAGAATGCTTTGAAAAAGATGAGAGAGAGAACAGTTGTGAACACAACAGTCACAGATGCAGAATCAAGATTGAAAGAGATCAGTTATACACATACAAAAGCTAATGAGTTACTTCTGAACCAAGCAATTCAATTGAAAAGAATACAAGACTCACTTATTAAGAAATCAAGTCTCAAGATAAGAATATGAGTTCTTGTACATAATAAGAGTTCTGAGAAGTTTCAATCTAGATGATTTGTGTTATATAAAATACTCAAATCACATTCTCTGAGAATGTATGCATTGAAAGAATCAGAGGAATGAGTCTTATACAACTTAATCAATGATTCATAACTTATAAAAGCAAAGATGCAAGACCTCAGTAGATTATGATTATTCACAACACTATCATCAGTGTTGAAAAAGAAGAAGCTTACAATTGAAAAGTCTTATAAAGTAAGAGAAATTATAGATACTTATGAATCAGATGATCTCACTTATTCTGATCTTTTCACAATTATAAGAAAAGAATGAGAAGAAATGAAGAAATCAGATGAACATCACACTTCAATAAGTAATAAGACTGTAGCTGATTATATGATAATGCATCACAGACAGTGAGCACAACACAGTAAAGAGCAGTCTCAGAGCAGCAGACTTACACATAAGTCAGATTACAGAAGAAAAAGAAATTCAGAGTTGAATTCAACTATTTACATCAGTTCAATCACAGAGATCACAGAGAATGAACTATCTGAAACATCCGCAGATGTGTGAGACCAAGCCATCTCAACCCCTGAGGATGCTCAGAGGTCAGGTGAGGTTAGTTTTGATGAGCTGTTCACTGTAGTGGTCTGAGCGGGCGAAGAGAGACAGTATAATGTGCAAGGCAGAATCACAAAGATGGAAGCTGCTGAACCTAGTCACCAAATACTGTACCATATAGAGGTCGCGTAAGAGTAGTGGCTAGCAGATAAAGGAAAAGCATAAGAAAAAGGAAAGGGATAATGAATTGATCACCAACTGTAAGGGTCGGCTGCAAAAAGACAAATGTTATCATACACACCCCATTCATTTTCATACGCCACACGTTTAATCTATTTCCAACACCACGCCACCCGAAAAACGCCAAAAACAAAAGCAGAGGCGGCAAAACCAGGAGTAGCAGAAGTGGGGGTCGCGGGAACAGGGGTAGCAGGAGCGGGAGAACCAGACACAGGGGCAAGTGTAGGAGATTGAGGGGGAGCAGCAGGGGAAGGAGCGGCAGAAGGGGCAGGGGGGGACGCTGGAGACCCGGCCACACATGACACAGACAATTCCTTCATTATCGCGTCCTTCAAGTTCTCAATCAATGATTCCACATCAGGTTCACTATCATCAGCAGACACGGATCTGTCAACATGTGAAGATTCTATGTGAATAAAAACAAACATATCAGCATCTGCATCCATGCAAAATCATGCCAGAAAACACAATCAGAAACTCACTGAGAAGAGAAATGATTGAGAGTGTATAAGAAGATGAAGAAGATGTGTCATCATTCATGATAATATGTTGTTCTGGCAATTGTTAGAAGATAAACAAGTCCTGATCACATTTCACAATGTATTACACTTACTGCTAACAAACTGCCTGGTATGAGCACTACAATGACACTTATTGTGAGAATGAGAGACCATTGTCAGAAATGTGTATAATGTGATAGATGAACAGATGAAAAGAGTTGAACAGAAGAAGAAATAGAAATCTTGAATAAAATAGTAATATTTAATGATGATGATGATGAAGAAGATGATTGAAGAATGAAAAAGTTAGTAAATGAGTGATGTAATATAGTGAAAGTTTCTTTGTGAGAGTGTATGCAGAATGCTAGCTGAATCAGAAATAGATTATATAATTATGAAATGCTAGTGATGAGCTAATCTACATAAAGCTAGAGTGTATGATATGATCACATGAGTGTGACTGAATCTGGTGAGAGAGAATGTAGTTCAGAAGAATGTATGACTGTCAAATAATAACACAGCTGCTTCCAAACTACTAGTGTACATGTACAAATGTAAAGGGGCTATAGCAGCCGCTAATTTAATTAGTGTATGATATTACAATATAAGAAGCTGACGTACGCCTGTAATTGTACGCTGGCTTAAGCAATCTTTGAATCACATGAGAACTAAAGTTCTCAGGTAGATGTCATAGTCTCTGACTGCATACATCTATAATTGAAGAATAATAATAATACTACTGTATACTCTCTATCAAGACTTTCTCTCTTCAGAGTCTTGATATTATAGAGAATATAAGTCTGTTTCTATATAATAATGTAAATATTGTCAGCAGAATGTAGAGAAACTGGTTATTTATATCTCAAAATAAAAGACTTTATCAATGATTATATTAATATAGAGTTAATTCTCAAATTCAATAGAAATCTAGTGTTACTGTTCTCAATTTCTTGCAGAATCTATTGAATATTGAGATATTAAAACTAGATTTAATATATCTCACTGTGCAGAGATCAAAGGCTCAGTCAGACCTTAAGATATACTGATTTTATAGTTGTTATATCTGCTGATTATGTATTGAGTACAGTTGCTGAGGTATCTTTTTATACTTTTCTGTCAGAGATGAGCCAGATTGAGAGAAGTGATATGAGGGTGAGACTTGGTATTGATGTCTAGATACACTGAAGACAGACTGCAGAGATTGCACTTCAGAAGTGACTGTTGATTATATACTTGATATTATCACTGAGGTATCTTTTTGTATTTTTCTGCCAGGGATGAGCCAGATTAGAAAGGGCGGTATGAGGGTGAGACTTGATGTTGATGTTTTGAAACATCAAAGATGAACAGGGTTTTCGCGGAGATTGCTTCTCAGATATCTTCACAACTACAGATTGAGAATCTTCCAAAATTGAGAAGATTGATGCATATGACTAGGTCTCTTCACCTTACAATTTGTATGGCACTTTGGCCCGGGGTTGTGGTGTGATAGGGGAGAATGGGGGATAATCCCACACAGAAGTTTCAAACAACATCTGGTTCACATTTGACTGGATAACTTCACCACCACACGGGGTATGCGGTCGGTGATGGGGTCAAAATGCTCGTATGACCGAGGGCTTTTCAATGGATCTATCAGCGGGTTCTTATTCGAAAAATCGAGCGAGTTTGTGGTGAAGCGGTTGAGTTAGTCTAGTAATCTTATACTGTCTTAGTAAGACTTATTATCTACTTTTATTAGACTAACTATGTAACTGTGTCTGAGATCAGAATCACAATATTTGATAATCTTATTATTAATTTAATTAATTTCATTACATGATTTTAAGATTAGATAATAGTCTCATACTGTCTCAGTGAGACTTACTATCTACTTTTATCATATTTTTCAAATAAGATCATGATTTCTACTTCTCAATTTAAATTCTTTTTATTGGTTTAAGTGACTTTAAATCTTATTTAAGTATTACTAAAAAGTGTTACTTTTTAAAAAATTAAAAATAGTTTAAAAAAATGTTAAAATGTCTAAAAATAGTAACTTTATACTAAGAATAAGACTAAATGAAACTAAATGAGATCACTTTCTTATTTTTTCTAAGTTATGATCTTATTTTAAGATCTGATAAATAGTTACTTTGTATGTTTTTTTAAGACTTAGTCTTAGTGAGATTCATATTAAGAAATGTATAAGATCAGACTAAATAAGATTAAATATGAAATTTATAATCTCAGTGATCAGTCTAACTTTTATTATATTTTTAAAATAAGATTATAATTTTCACTTCTTAATTTAAATTCATTTTATTACTTTAAATAACTTTAAATCTCATTTAAGTGTTTTTAAATATCATTACTTTTTAAAAATTAGAAATAGTTTAAAAAAAATCTTAAAATATTTAAAAATAGTAACTTTATATTAAGAATGAGATTAAATGAGATTAAATAAGATCACTTTCTTATTTTTTTAAGTTATAGTTCTATTTTAAAATCTGATAAATAGTTACTTTGCATATTTTTTAATAATTAATCTTAACTAGACTAACTGTATGACTGTGTCTAAGATCAGAATCAGAATATTTAATAATCTTATTATTAATTTAATTGATTTTATTATATAATTTTAAGATTAAATAGTAGTTTTATACTATCTTAGTAAGACTTACTATTTACTCTTATCACATTTTTTAAATAAGATTATGATTTTTACTACTCAATTTAAATTCTTTTTATTACTTTAAATAACTTTACATTTCAGTCACTTCATCACAAACTCGCTCAACTTTTCGAATAAGAACCCGCTGATAGATTCATTGAAAATCTCTCAATTATACAAGCATTTTGACCCTATTGCTAACTGCATACCCCGTGTGATGATGAAGTTATCCAGTCAAATGTGAACCAGATATTGTTCAAAACTCCTGTGTGAGATTATCCCCCGTTCACCTCTACCACACCACAACCCCAGGCCAAATTGCCATACAAATTGTAAGGTGAAGAGACCTAGTCATATACATCAATCTTCTTGATTTTGAAAGATCTCTGATCTGTAATTGTGAAGATATCTGAGAAATAATCTTCATGAAAACCCTGTCTATCTTTGATGTTTCAAAACATCAAAGCCAAGTCTCACTCTCATACTGCTCTTTTCAATCTGGCTCACTCTCAGTAGAAAAATACAAAAAGATACCTCAGCAATAATATTAAGTATATAATCAACAGATATATCTGAAGTGCATTCTCTGTGAAAACTCTGTCTGTCTTTGATGTATTAAAACATCAACATCAAGTCTCACTCTCATATTACCTCTTTCAATCTAGCTCACTCTCAGCAGAAAAATATAAAAAGATATCTTAACAACTGTATTCAACACATAATCAGCGGACAATGAGTCAACAACATATTAACAACTATAAAATCAGTATATCTCAAGATCTGACTGAGTCTTTGATTTCTTCACAGTGAGATATATTAAATCTAGTTTTAATACCTTAATATTCAATAAATTCTGCAAGGAATTAAGAACAGCAACACTAGATTTCTATTGAATTTGAGAATTAACTCTATATTAATATAATCATTGACACAGTGTACTTAACCGCTTCACTACGAACTTGCTCAATTTTTCGAATAAGAATAACTCTATATTAATATAATCATTGACACAGTGTACTCAACCGCTTCATTACTAGACTGACCGTGTAACCGTGTCTGAGACCAGAATCAGATTTTTTGATAGTCTCATTATCAATTCAACTGATCTCATTACATGGTTTTAATATTAGATAGTAGTTTCATACAGTCTCAGTGAGACTTACTGTCTACTCTTATCACATTTTTCAAATGAGATCATGATTTTCACTTCTCAATTTAAATTATTTTTATTACTTTAAATGACTTTAAATCTTATTTAAGTATTATCAAAAAGTGTTACTTTTTAAAAAATTAAAAATAGTCTAAAAAAAACCTTAAAATGTTTAAAAATAGTAACTTTATACTAAGAATGAGACTGAATGAGATTAAATGAGATTACTTTCTCATTTTTTTCAAATCATGGTTCTATTTTAAGATCTGATATATAGTCACTTTGCATGTTTTTTTGATGACTAGTCCCAGCGGGATTCACGCCAAGAAATGTATGAGACCAGACCAAATAGAATTAAATGTGAAATTTATGATCTCAGCGGCCAGTCTATTCACCACGAACTCGCTCAATCTTTTGAATAAGAACCCTCCGATAGATTCATCAGAAAGCTCTTAATTATATGAGCATTTTGACCTCATCGCTGACTGCATATCTCATGTGGTGATGAAGTTATTCAGTCAAACATGAACCAGACATTGTTTGAAACTTCTGTGTGGGATTATCCCTCATTCACCTCTATCACATCACAACTCCAGGTCAAATTGCCATACAAATTGTAAGGTGAAGAGACCTAGTCATAGATGTCAATCTTCTTGATTTTGAAATATTCTCAATCTGTAATTATGAAGATATCTGAGAAATAATCTTCATAAAAACTCTGTCTATCTTTGATGTTTTAAAATATTAACATTAAGTCTCACTCTTATATCACTCTTTTCAATCTGACTTATCTCTGATAGAAAAAGACAAAAAGATATCTCAGTAATAATATTAAGTATATAAGTAATAGATATATCTGAAGTGTATTCTCTATGAAAACTCTGTCTGTTTCTGATATATTAAGATATTAATACCAAGTTTCACTCTTATATCATCTATTTCAATCTGGCTCATCTCTGGCAGAAAAATACAAAAAGATATCTCAGCAACTGTATTCAATACATAATCAGTGAATAATGAGTCAATAATATATTAATAACTATAAAATCAGTATACTTCAAGATCTGACTGAGTCTTTAATTTCTGTATAGTAAGATATATTAAATCTAGTTTTAATATCTTAATATTCAATAGATTCTATAAGAGATTGAGAACAGCAATACTAGATTTCTATTAAATTTAAGAATTGACTCTATATTGATATAATTATTGACAAAGTCTTTTATTTTGAGATATAAATAATCAGTTTCTCTACATTCTGCTGATAATATTTATATTATTATATAGAAACAGACTTATATTCTCTATAATATCAAGACTCTGAAGAGAGAAAGTCTTGATAGAGAGTATATAGTAGTGTATATCTTAGCA